GCGATGAGAGTTCCCTTTGATTTTATATTTTATTTTCTAGTTCTTTATTATTAATTTTTAAACACCTTCTGTAATAATATATATTTATCGATTATATAATATATTACCGATTATGAAAATCACTTAATATTGTATACTGAAATTATATTTTAATAATTACGTTGAACAAATAAATAATTACAAGGAACGTCGAATAATATTAATATATACTATTATGTGTAATAGTACGCGATTCCTTAATTTATTAAGCTGTTTTATTATTTTTTTTTTTCAATATACGTATATCTATCGAATGAGATAATAAGTTCTATAATATTATTATTATTTGGTTGTTGATGTGTTTGATATTTTTCCTCCTACATTTATTATTATTTWTTATTATTATGTAGATCGCTCGTGTTGATTTAGTATGAAATAATTATAATAATAATACAATAATAATATCATCATCGATTTGTTATTTCATTTATTTAACGTATTATTGATATTATTATTATTATTATATTATTACTATTATTATTATTATTATACAAGATTATTGAGTTTTAGTGTATGAATATTGGTTTTCGATTGTTCGACATTTGTGTATCATAATATAATACGAAGAATACATAAATATATATGAGACGAGAGTTCTATATTTTTTTCTGATATTCGATTTCTTGGTTTTTTGCTTTATTTATTTATATTATTTTTTTTTTTTTCGTTCATTGCAAGAATTTCCTACATATATACCGAAATCTAGGTACTTTTCCAATGATAATAATCATATATAATAGTGAATTAATATAACCACCGCAGATTTCTATACTGTATGTACCTACTCGCAAGTATTTTTTATTAGAATAGGAATTCTGGATAAAATTAATTAGGTTAAATTAAACATTATCCTATAGGTCGACCGCCACGATTCTAATTGGAAAATGTATTTAATTTTAAACTAATTTTTTTTAAGTAATTTTTAACTATTACGTTTTTTGTCTTTTCCGTATCGACACCGTAACTTTTCGGTACCTACTCAACAATTCCATTGAAAGATTCTGGTCCGGTTTCGATTTTTAAAACTATAAATCAGTWATTCACAMTAAAGCAATTTTTTTTCGATTTGCTTAAATTTGAACTTTAGGTATCTGTTTAATTTGTTTATACGCTAATAAAGTAATAAATAAATAAATAAGTATACGTCTGATTTTTAAGGATTCCGAGCGAATAAATGACCGTTAACAAAAATTATATAAGATAAGCAATCCTTGTGGAGGTATAAATTATCACAGAATTAAATACAAAACTAACGATCATTGTTAGAATTTCAGTCCCCGAAAGGTATTATAGGTATACTTATTTGAAGTATTAGGTATTTACATTATATTCGCGTCGATTTTTCAACCGAGAAAATTGAGAGGAAAAAAATCAACTTGATGACACGAGTTCTTATTGTCCGATATGTATAGGTATTACCTGTAGGGGAGAGCGGAGTTAGTTGTTACACTTTTKCCTTATCGATTTTTTATAATTTTTCTTTTACTATGATCATAATTTTTGTGATACCATTCTATTAAGTAACTTCTTGGGTATGTTTTTATGATAGTAAAATAAAAATAATTAATTTTTAATACTAAAAAAACCCTGGTAAAGTCACTAAGTCAAAATGTAACAACCTTCCCCCCGGGTGTGGGGTAAATTGTGATAGTCCAAGGGCACATTGTTACATTCTACATTTTGAAATATTATTACCCAAAATAAATAAGAAATCAACAGTAAAAGTAATGATAAACATATTTTATAATATAATATATTTATAGTAACAAAATATAAATAAACAATTTTCCTTTTTATGAGTATTTATACTGATGTAGTCCTATTGAATACAAATAAATATAGGTAACTGCCTTATTTAAAAWCAAAATATAAATAATTGTTAAAATAACATTGTTATAATTTATAAGTAATATATTATAAAGTATTATATTATATTATATAAGTTATATCATAAGTCGTTGTATTAATAAGTAACAACATGCCCCTTGCGAAATGTAACAACGTGCATCATATCGTTTTTTTTTTTTTCTATTATAATTTATTTATTCGAAATGGATTAATGAAATTGAATTCTATTGTTAGAATATGATGTAGTACTACATAATAATGAAGAATTATTAAATGACAAAATAATCTCACCTTGAATTTATGAGTTGTAAAAAAAAACGCTAGTCGCGGAACAAAAGTTACTTTTGATAACAAATTACAGAAAAACGTTGTCAATTCAAAACACAGATAAAATGTACTCGATATTATCACAAAACATATGTAGTTAATGATAACGTAATTTTTTCGTTCAGTCTCCGCAGTTTTATCATAATAATTGGATGTATAAAATATCTTCACTGTAACAACTAACCCGTGTAACAACTAACTCCGCTCTCCCTGCCTATATATATATATATATATATATAGAAGTCTGCGTGAAAAATCTGTGAATATTAACCGTATTATTATTATTATTCCGTTTCCGATATTATGTGCAAAAATTGCGAATAGTTTTCTGTTTTCTATTCTTCCGGACTTATCTTTTCTCATCGTTTACTGATCGAATTATTTTAATTTGACGTTCCGGAGATCAATTGCAGCTGGTCTGTGGTCTTTTTCTCATTTTGTGTTTTGCTATATCATTTTCCTTGCAGGACTACAATATTTGTACGCTCTGTAATTGTTTGTTTTTTGTTTGAGATTTGGTTTTTTACATAAATACGATGTCGATGATTGAAGATTTTACAAAAAATAGTGATTGTATCTGAAGACAAGTGATTAACTGAAGTGTTCTTTAAATAGTATAAACGAGATCATGCTCAAAACGAGGTTAGACGCGATCTATATAGTAATGATAAATAATAATCAATAAAAATAAAACATTGTCTGGAACAAACTTAAAATTTTTACTTTTTACGGGACTTATGACATTCCACAAAATACGTGATTAAAGGATAATGTATGCATATTATTATTATTATTATATATTAATTATAAAGGTGTTATTATATTATTCTTAGTTCTTAATATGTGTGTCTCCACTATTAATGTCGACCTTATTATTATTATTATTATTATTACTATTATTACTATATTTGTATGAAATTATATAATTTTGTTTCATTAATTCCAGTATAAAAAAAAAAAATACAATATATAATGATTTTCCGCGATTTTATTATCATGTAAAGTTATATATA